CTTGTTCAAAATTACTTCTGGTTCTAAATGAATTTTAGGGATGTTTTCTCTGGTGTATGAGGTATTGTATTATTAATTTGACTGGGATTGCATTATATCTCTATTATAGTTTTGAAAGTGTTGCTATTTTCACTACATTGGATCTGCCTAGCAGAAATAAGGGGTATCTTTCTATTTTCTGATTTTTTTCAATCCTGCTTTTTCAGGAGATTGTAGTTTTACTCTAAACGTCTTTTATTCCCTTCATTAGATTGATTCCTTAGTATTTCACTTTTCTTTATGTTACTGTGAAAGGTGATGTTTCCCTAATTTCTTCCACTGGTTATATGAGAAACGCAAATTAAAACAACACTAGATGCCAACTCACTTTAGAAAGAATGACTTCAATAAAGGAATCAACCAACAACAAATGCTGGTGAGGCTGTGGGGGGAAGGAACACTTCTCCACTGTTTGCGGGAGTGTAGACTGTGACAACCAACATGGAAATCAGTAGGGACATTCTTCAAGAAACTAAAAGTAGAGGTTCCATTTTACCCACCTAATCTGTTTTGTATTTTCCCAAAAGAGTTAAAAGTATCGTACCACAGTAACATTTGCACACTCATGATTATAGCAGCACAATTTGTTACAGCTAAAGCTTGGAAACAGCCTAAATGCCCCTCAATTGATGAAAGGATAAAGATGTGGTTTTCATGTATACTGTAGGACTACTTTTCCATAAAGGATGCACTTGATACATTTCTAGGTGAATGGGTGCACCTTGATACTAAAGTAGAATAAATCACACTATAAATTATTGCATTGTTTCTCTTGTGTAAGAAACCAAAAGGATACATGAGGACAAAATGTATAATACTTACTCGAAAGCAGGGAGAATACACTCAGATGGGAAGGAGAATAAGGGAAGAGAGAACAGGAGGGAAGAAAGGGAAAAGAAAAAAGAAACTAAAAGGTAAAAATGGACAAAACTTTTATAAATAAAAGAAGGAAGAAGGGTTGAATGGAGAGGAAAGAGATGGGGCAAAAGAGAAGAATCAGGATATATTGTGTACAGATACAAAACCCTTATGATGAATGTAATCATTAGTATATCGAAAGTATAAGACAGTAAAATGAATAAAAATATGTTACTGTGCTCTCTGCCTGTGAAGCATGAAGACAATGTCTCTGACCTCAAGGATGAGCACACTGTCATGCGGGTAGTTGTTGCATGGAGTATGGAGTTTAGAATGGATTTTCTCACCAGATTCACAAAATCCTCTTACTAGCTTTAATGATGATCATTTCAGAAATGAAGATGAAAAAGATCATCGCCACGTCAAGGTTAATTGAAGCCTTTTACACTCCTGAAAGAACTGATTTGGACATTTACTTTTGTATAGTTTCATTTTAATTTATAATTTATATAAAATAAAGAAACTCTAAGTGAAAAATTAGTGTGAATGGAAAACATCATTTCTTTTTGGGCAAGAGTTCAAGAACTCCTTTACATAATGCTGCTTCATATAATAACCATTTATCATTCAATGTAAAATTTGACAGAGAAGTTCTATGAAAAAGTTAATGTTCCCGTAATCATTCATAGGAGTAATCACAAACTATGTAACAAAATCTGTTTACTTTCATTTTTATAAAGCCCAAATAATTCCTTTCCATCACTCAAATTTAGAAGATTGTCATGAAATCATATTTATGTTGTTTTCCTATGAAAATGTAGTATTTCTATGTAGCACCAAGCTCCTAAAGAGGACCTGAATTTTTATTCTGTGCAAAAGCACAACCCGCAGATTTTTCCTCTCGATTTCAGACACGGAGCCCCTCTCACCTATAGTTCATCACTGTATTCTTTCTGTTTCCACAGATGATATAAGAGGAAAAGAAAATACTTTTCTTAAAAAAAATCCAGATCCTTACCTAGAGACCAAAACTTAGGTTTGGATGTTGCAGGCCTCACGTTTCAAAATAGTGTGAGAAATTGAATTTGTACTTTGGAAGTGGGCAAATCGTTCTACATCATTAATATGCAAATAAAATATGTCTATTTCAAAGCATATGAGTTAAAGTGTTAGAAATTATTCATGTTAAATGAGATGACTCGTTCATATAGTGCTTACATCAAAAATAATTTAATGAGCTAAACAAAATAAACTACAGTTTAGTTGGTTTTAAAATGACAATAAATGAATCAATGCTGCTTCAAATCTATTAAGCTTTTAAAAATCTGAATATCAAATCAGTTTCTGAAATCTAGTCTAAAAATACTTCTACATAAAACAAAACCAGTGGGTCCCAAATTGACACAAGCTTCTGCATGCATAAATTCATTGAAAATGCAAATGTTTAGCAGGATGGAGAACTAGGAAAACCTCACAGGACACCATGCAATTCTACTCACAGCAATTGTTTTTCTTGTGATTGAGAATTTTATGTATAGGGTGCTTATAACAAGCACATAACAAAATGACTTCTTTGTGAAAGTTGAAAACTTAAATGTAGCCAAATTAACAGACTTTGGGATCTGATGGTGATATCTTTGTATTAAACCAATGTCAAGTTTTTGCATTTTGAACAACAACAACGAAAAAAAACCCAGTTTGAATCTATTAATGCCATTGTTTATCACTATCTGTCAGTGCCCCGTGTAGCGACCCTTTCAAGCACCACACAGTAAATGCTGCAGTGGAAATGCACCTATAGTTTGTGTCACAGACAGCTGGAGATTTGTTTGATGAATTATGTGTACATCTTATCTGCCATACACTCAGGAACTAGGATATGTAAGTAATGGTCTGTTCTGGACAATTTTCAACCTGCCACATTTTTTTCTTGCTCATGTCAAGTAAGGAAAAAATCATTACAAATCAAATAAATAATTAGGAAATTTATTTGATATTTAAACCTAACCGACTACTTGAATATTTATTTTCAAAAGCACTCAGAGATTATTAATGAATTTCAGATTTCCTTTTTATTAATGTAATTGATTTAAAAGTAATTACACTTATGCCTTTTCTATTACACTTTAGTGAGATTGAGTTCTTTAGAAATTCATCAAAGGTGAAAAAAATTTGCATATTCCTTGTATTAAGGTTATTTCTAAAAGTCAAGGTAATAGCCTGAGATATACACTTAAATTATAAATTTGAAGATTGATTTTAAAATGACTCTTAAATCTTTAAATGTATAGAAATGAATTAGTGCTATAATTTGCCAGTTAATAAGGGTCACAAACTCCAAATATACCTGAAAATTATTTCTTCTATTAGGCAACCAAATATCACTTTACAGAGTCTAAATCTATTTAGAAACATCTACCTTATTTGTGAACACCATTTTCCTTAATCTTTTTTTTTAATCCGGAGATCAAACTCATAACATCACATTTGCCAGGCAGGTACTTTGTACTGCTGAGCTAAATCGCCAGCCCCAGAATATTCCTATTATTAAAAAAAAAAAATGAATGTGTGTCATTTCTCGACAAACAAATACTAATGGTGAATTCTGCATTGCATATCCAAAATATTCAAGAAATGACATTGACATCTTGATGCAACAATAAAGATATCTGAACTTTAGTTGCAAATCAGTGGTAGAATAAACTGCAGAAAAAATATTAAATATACATTTCAATTTTTTCAATCTACAGTGGTACCCCACTTCATGAACTTAAATATTTCCATGAGTCTGAACCTAAACTGAATTTGTCACCAATCAAATCAAATTCAGGGATTAGGTTCATTGTTGACCTTACAAGGAAATTTGGATCAGTTCATGACCAATTTGGTTTGTCACTGGGATAGTGATCTGTTGCTGCTTTTTAGATTACACGGACCAAAATGGTTACTCCCCTGCTTCCTCCTACCGTGAGGTGACTGCCTTTTAGGCAGTTGACCCTGGACTGCATCCCTTCAAACCATGAGCCGAATTACGCTTTTCTTTTTTAAATGTTGGATGTTGGATACTGTGTCTCAGACACAGGGAAGCTAATACAGAAAATTTGTGCTGGAGAACTGTGTCTGTGACAGGACATCTAACCAATACAATTAACTTTTAAAGCATGAAATGTATTAGTACATGATTGTAGTACATAACGTGGACATTCCCTGTGGGATGTTGGTACACATCTGCAACACATCTTAATTTCTTTTTCCTCCTCTTTCACTTCCCTACTCTCCCCTGCACCAATCTTGCTTTTTTCTTTTTGACACTTTTATACATATTTTGCAGAACTTAACATTTACATTCTATGTAGAAAATTTATATTTTAAGGTTTATTTTGATAAGTGGTCTAAAATGTTATATATTTTACATCAGATATCTGTAATATAGCTTTTTTTTAAATAACAAAAATCAATTATATTTCAACAGGTTCACTCACCTCTGAGCATCAGTTATGGACAAAACATTTTTTTCTTAAATTTAGAAACCATGGTTTTTACATACAGTACATATTTATTTTCAAAATAACACTGTCATTGTAAACTTAGAATTTACTAATGAAGCTAGTAGTAATTGCACACTCCAGAAAGTTTGAAGCTATTTAAAGGAAGAACATGGGATGAGATTGATGTGTCACTTAGAGAGTTTAGGCTGCTGTTATGAAGCACAGTAGGCTGGGTAGTTTACATCTGTAAGAGGATTGCTTTCTTAAAGTTCTTGGGGGTGGCAGTCAGGGTTCCAGTCTCACTGGGGTCTAGTGAGGGCTTCTTCTGGGTTGAAGGCTGTTGTCTTCGCACTATTTGTTCACAGGGTTGGAAAGAGTTATCTAATGTATGACCTTCCACAAGTGCACTATTGTCACACATGACACCACTTCTTTTAAATTTAACCTTTTCTCAGTGGCTGTACCAACATTCCATGGCACTGGAGTTATGTTTTGATTAAGGAATTTGGAGAAAGCATAAATATTTAGTCTCTAAAATGGTAATCAGAAAATACTAAATGACTGAAACCTTAGAAAGGTGATATTGAATTGATCTTACCAAATAAGAGACCAGACTGCTCGCTTCGGCAGCACATATACAAAGTAGGAACAATACTGAGAAGATTAGCATGGACTCTGTGCAAGGTTGACATGTAAATTCCTGAAGCATTCATTATTTAAAGAAAGGGAGATAGATAGATAGATAGATAGATAGATAGATAGATAGATAGATAGACAGAGAGAGAGAGAGAGAGAGAGAGAGAGAGAGAGAGAGAGAGAGAGAGACCAGGTGTCTATTTTTATATTGTAGTAACCTATCAAGAAGATAAAGATAAGAATGCAAAATCGTTGGGTTAAAATCACAATTTCTTTCTCAAAATGGAAATGGTACAGAAAATTTTGTAATAACTGGTAAGTTGACAAAGAATGAATGGGGAATGCTGCATATCAATGAGGTGCAAGGGAACTAAGGCAAGCCTCATAGGATTCAGAAAGAACGAACACCCATAGTGTGGCCCCATGACTGAAAAGAGATGAATGAAGTAAACCAGGACAGTTGAAGACTTCTTCTCATTTCCTGAGGGAATAACTTGCACTCACTGATCTGATGGATGCACGATGTGTTTGATGACAAAGATCAACAGTTCTGGAAGTCACTCCGTGCACAAGTGAGATGGGAATGTTACTAGTTAAAATTATACAGGAGACCACATACAAATCTTCTAATAATTCTTTCCATGCTCAAAACCAACCTTTTTATTGTCTTCTATCTAAACAACAGCCTGCAATTTGTTATAAAATAGGTGCATTAGCATTAAGTGTGTCTTCACATTCAAGCAACATTTGATATTAAAATATACCATCGGTTTTTCTTCTCTGCTAATGATAATAAAATACCTGGAATAATTGCATGGGCGATTATCTAATACCATTTCAATTATAGCATTATGAGTTTGCTTAATTGTATTCAGTGGGGTTACTAAAAGTCAAACTCAGGAGTGGTACTGCACTACATCAAAAATGAATTTGCATTTGGCTTTTTACTCTCAAATCAGTGGGCAATAGTGTGAAGACAAAAATTGTGGCCCTTTGAGATGACTTTTAATTTTAAGTGGACCTGAACTTCAGAATCTCTGTTTCTATATTGGCTAGGGGTGGAAGGGGATAGTAAGGCCAGGAGTCTGCTGGTTCTCTTGAGCACTGTTTGTAGGGAATTCAGACCTCCTGTAGGTGAGAATGAAAGAGCCAGGTGAATGTTTAAGCTATCTTTAAAATTAATTTTACACTAAAATTCTGAAAAACACAGTGGAAACTGCCTTCTAGAATTTTATTTTCCCTTTAATTTAATATTTATCTCTGCAGTGGGGGAATTGCAGTCTCTAGGTATTCCCTCACTGCGTGGAAGGCTGTGAAGCTGCATGTGCTTCAAACATCTCTCGGTATTAGAAGGTCACTGTGTTTTCTAGAGTTGCTTTCGGTGCAGGCACTTACGCCTGCTTCTCATCTCTCTTTCTTGTAGTGTCTCTCCTTTACCATTCTTTACCCCTTCCATCAGCACACAGGTCCTAATCTATAGCTGCTATACTTTAAAGCAAAATCCTCAAATTCTTCACCTTCTCCAGTCAACCATATACCAAATAACATCTTTTCTCATTGGTGTTAATAATGACTATTTTAATATACTTGAAAAAATTTGGATTTTATATCTCTTTATTCTCTCTTGCCAAAACATCTAAATATAGCAGTTAAGGAGGAACATGTAAGTTAAAGTGCTGCTACATTTGATAAAAAGTAGTTCCATAAAGTTTCTCTATTCTACCACAAATTTCAAACTATTATGATAGTAAAATTCATTTCATGAGGGGCTGGGGATTTAGCTCAGCGACATAAGCACCTGCCTTGCAAGCAGGCAGTCGTGAGTTCAATCCCCAGTACCGATAAAAATGAAAAAGACAAAAAAAAATTCATTTCATGATATTAGTTGTCACCTTTAAGCACTTATAACATGATGGAGTATGTGAGATTTTCCTGTGTAAGGCAAGGTGACCTTACATTTATGCAGAGGAAAAATAGGGAAAAAGATATCACCTGTTAGTTTTCTGTGACTGTGTTCTGGTTCCTAGTTTGGAAAGTTAGTCACTTTCCCATCCCAGGGACAAAGTAGTCAACATCTGGAGTATAAGTAGGAGAGATTAGTTTGACTCATGGGCTCAGAGGGTTCAGTCCATGTTGGACTGGACCCAGTCAGGAAAAATATGGTAGAAGAAAGTTACTTAACCCATAGTAACCAGGAAGCAAAGAGAGAGGAAGAACAGAGAAACCTGAAGCAAGAAAACACCCTGTGAATTCATGCCCCTAATAACCCTCTTCCAACCCTTCGCCACTGCCCATCTGCACATTCAGCTGTGGACAAACCCTCTGACAACTGTAATACTGTATGATGCAAGTGCTTTCCAAAAGCCCAGCTTCTGAGCACATGAGACACTACGGGGTAGGGTGGGATGCATTTTATGTCTAAACTATAACAGAAATTGTGGAATTTAAGAAAAGCAGTAACATGATACAATTTATTTGAGTAATACTTTATGAGAAGCCACAGAACTGAATATATATTTGGTATATAATAATTGATATAACACATTTAGTATACTTTAATATAACATATAAATATAGAGAGACAGAAAGAGAATTTCTTTGGAGACAGAATGTCAGGGACAAGGCCAGCATATCACCCACAGCCATGCAAACTTGAGTGAGATACTTTACTTCTGTGTATCAGAAGTGAATTGCAAGTAACAGAATTATCTGCCTCCTGTGGCAATTTTAAGGCATAAATGATTCAGTATATACGAAGGGCTTGATCCAGTGAATGGGCAGTGCAGATACTTCAATATGTTTTAATCATTTGTTAAATTAATAATTTCACCCACCATCAACTTCCTTAATTAGAAATATACTATACCATAATATGTGGAAATGTCAGTAGGTATTTTTATTCTGAGTTTGGGTCTTGCTGGTTTTGTTTGAATTTCAGTTTACAGGATTTTGGTTTTGTTATTTGGTTGTGTTTTGTTTTTGATTCATAACAGGTGGAAGAATAAAACACAGAATAAAGTAAAAATGACCTACCAAAGCCTGTTTTTATAATTTTGGGCTGCATGTTAAGACTACAGAAAAGAGACAGAAGTTGATATCAGCTGTTAGAATTTTGGAAATACATTAATAATTATCATTATATGTTCCATAGAGAAAACCTCTTGAAAATATTTGATCTGATGTCTCAAAATCCACTTGCTATGACTTGGGTCTAGATGTCCCTCCAAAATCTTACACAGTCATAAGTGGAGCTTTTTCAGAGGTGACTGAATCTAGAGTGTGTGATTGATTCACAGTGCACTGCTAGGGTTAAGTGTGATAAAATCAAAGATAGATGCTTACTAAATCAGTATACTGACTAGTTTGGCAGAGACCTAGTCCCAGTAAAACTAGATGCAATATAAAAGACAGAAAAAAAAACTTGTCTTGTCCCTTAATTGTTTTGGCACCTTCTGTCTGCAATGAACTTTTTCTCCTCTGCCACCCTTCCTGCCTTGGAGCCAGTCAACTATGGACTGAAGAATCCACAAACTATGAGCTAAATAACCCTTGCTTTGTTTAACTTGGGTTTGGTATTTTTCTCAGCACCAAGAAAAAAGTAAGACAGTGCTAGTGGATGATTGGTTACTTTCCACTTTCTATAGATTTCATTTCCTATAAATTATTTGTAAATTAAGAAGTATATTTTCTTTGCAAATTCCTTCTCCTTATTAACTTATATCTCCTTAATTCTTCATTATTTGACTTACATTTGAGATGGAGTTATCTAGATTGTCTAGTAGGTTCTTCTGTTTACAAAGTCTCAACTTTCTTTTTGTTGATTTGTTCATTTTTTTGAAACAGAATCTTTCTTTGTAGTTCTTGCTGGTCTTGAACTTACTATGTAGCCCAGGCCAGCCTCAATTTCACGGAGATGCTCTTGCCTCAATTACTCAAGTGCTGAGGTTGCAGGTGTGTGCCTCCATACCTGGCTAAGTCTCAACTTTCATAAGCAGTAGAGCTCTTATGACTAATTCTGTGATAGATATTTCACATTCGGGGGAATCCGAATGAGGTACCACGAACATTTATTAAAGAGCCAATGAAGTCATGTGATTGAACCAATCTAAACTTCCTGTCAAATCTAGTGCTTATGATGGAAAAGTTAAGAGTTGTTTACATTTTCCTGACCTTCGACTTCTACAGTGTTGAGATAATGAGAAATTCCAACGCCGACACCAGCTTGGATCAGATCCTACTTAACTCTTCCAAGAGAGGGATTCTAGGAAACCACTTATTTCTTTCCTCTTTCATTTATCCTCCACATCACCTGCACCTGGGAGTCGGGGGAACAGGATCCACAAGAGCTGTCCAAAGTGCTGTTCAGTGTAGTTCTGGCTCGATAAGACACAGGATGACTGGTTCAGTTTGAACACCATGTCCTAAATTTAACTACTTGGGAGCAAAGAAATTAACCTGGACTCAAAAGGAAAATCTATAATGTAATTAAACAAGTTCTCATTATCTTGTTTTTTTTAATTATCCTAATTTGTCTACATTGCTCTCTGATTTAACTTCCTGTTATCCTATTCTGGTGTTCATAGGGAAGCCATTTTGCTGAAGGTCTTTTAAATTTACTAATAAGTTGAATTTAAGATTTTGAATTACCAAACTGTACCTGTTTCCAATCTGAACCCCAAACTACGAACAGTCATAGAGAAGTAGTGATTTTCAGTAGTGTGATTTTTTCTTTTAAAGGTATTTTGTTCAAATAATAAAATGTATCTGAAGTGGCTTTGTGTTTATGGAATATTTGTATGACATTTAAAATGTCAAATATTGGCAAGAACGGTAGTAATCTTGCAAGCTGGGAAAGTAAAGCAAGGTAGGTATTCACTGTTCATTTTCCAGGGAGGAACTAATAGCATTGTAGTAATCCCTGATTCTCTACCTGGTGTTTTGTTTTGTTTTATCAAATCATACATATGCCAGCTGGAGAGTAAGATGTGTAATTATGCAACCGTCAGAGAACCAGAGATCTTCAATCAGAGTCAAGACTAAAAATAGAAATTCTATCTATTTTCTCATCTAGTCCCTTATTTAAA